CTAATGTATACTCTGCTACAGTTCGATGGTGTTAGACGCAAGTTAACGGTAAATAGCAACTCTGTTCCTTTCAAGATACTTACCATGGCAATCGTGGATCGACAGCCTACATTCTTATGGGAATGTCCCGTCGAGCGGATATTGGATTCGGTTCCTCTCACGAGATGAAGAATCCTGTCAATTTAAGCGGTTCATATCCTGTCATTTTGACTTCCAACATTCAATGCAAAGGCACCCAGTATCTTACAGATTATAACGACAGCGCTCAATCAATCTGTTGCAGTATCGTACCTGATAGTTTTGGGGACATTGTACAATATGAAAATTCAGGCGAGTTTCTTCCCGTTGGACAGACCATATCTCAAGTCGAGTTTCATCTTATCAATTCCCTTACCGGAACAGAAGTATCATTGAATTCTCCTTTAAGTGTCAGATTCGCCATTCTTGACGATGCAGATGATCTTTGACCGCACCTATGTTCCTCTTAAATATTTTGTTTTCTTTATAAAAACTCGTGTTAAATGAGCGAAGATCCAAATCATTCGAGTGCCTCTGCCGATTCTCCTGCCAATACTGACACGGTACAAGAATCTGTACAAGATTCAATACCGGAGATTCGATCACCTTCACCAAAGCCAGAGTTAAAACCTAAAAAGCAAAGAACACCCGCACAGGAAGCGGCTCTTAAGAAAGCCGTTGCCACACGGAAAAAAAACTTGCAAGAATTGTCCGCTATGAAGAAAAAGGAAAGCGAAGATAGAAAAATCCAAGAAGCGAAAGAACTTCTTGAAAAGGAGAAACTCGCAAAGAAATTGGCGAAAGAGGAAAAGGCTAAATCAAAGCCGCAAATATCACAAACCGCTAAACGTGCACGTTCAATCAAAGTTCCACCTAATGAACCGACTGCAATTCGGTCAAAACCAAGTCAAGAAACTGAATATGTTGAGTTTGACACTGACTACGACGATGATGGCTACGACTGATTACGGTGGAATTTATGGCTAATTTTTTTTTTGTACTTATTAGTAAACATGTCTGTACCTAACAACTGGCTGTTTGCTACGAAAACTTTCTCCCGCCCGTACAGCGATCCCTAGAGGCGAAGGGAGTGGCTACTTTTTCGCCTTCGGGTCAAAATGTATATTCTACAAAAACGCGTCAGTTGACACCTATTAGAATCCAATGCGATTCCTAATTCTGTCTCGTTCATTTTACAAAAGTTGATTCTTTCGATGGACGTCACGGCTTTGAAGAATAATGCTCCTGTATCTGGATCTGGAATCGTTAATACCAAACTTGGTATCGAATCTATCATACAATCGCTCACAGTTAAAGCAGGTAACGAAACAGTGGTTCAGATCCCGAATTATCCTGCGTACCTTGTACAAACGTACAGAAATATGAGTAAAGGCTATAAACAACTACTTGGAAATCTGACCGGTTATGGTTCCACTGATATCTTCAGCGGAACCGCTACAGCCAGCGTTAGTATGCACCCAATGGTCTCATTTTTTCATCCGACAAACGATCAATTTTTGCCCGTGTGGGCACTCCCGAATCAGGCCATGACCATCGAGTTGGTACTTGCAGATCCCAATACAGTTTTCACAAGTGCTGGAGTAGTTGATGAACTTCAAATCAGCAACATTCGTTGCTTGATTCCGTATGTTACCCCACCTCCGAGTATCGTTGTTAATGCTACAAGAGCAATTGCTGATGGGAAGAGTATCTACTATGATTATGTTCGCGCCACTCAAACAGAAAATGCCTGTAGCGGTGGCTTGAGAAATACTTTCAACCTGCATATGTCTGGCGTTAGATCCCTTATCGGATTGGAAATGTCATTTATAGACGATGATGTGCTTGCAGATCAAACTAAGGACAAGTCACAATCATTCTCGTCTCAAAATCTAAGAGAATGGCGGCTCCAATTAGGTCCGAATGCAACAATCCCAAGCGGTCTAACTGGTTTTACTCATGGGCCTTATGATCGTCAAACGCTTCTTGTTTCCCAACTCAGCAACAACAACTTTGAGCAACTTGCTGATATGGACATTTCATTCAAAGATTATGATACCGCAAATTTCTCGTTTTCGTACGGTTTTGAAGACAAATCCGAAGGAAGCGGTGCTGCTTTATCATTCACCGGAACCGACTCCATACTTCGAGTGCACACCGTACATGCATCGCCCGCACCTAGTCAACGAGTTAGACTTCTCAGCACTTACTTTGAAAATGTCACACTCGCGATCGGGGATGTAGTCAGTGTGATATAATTAGCATAACCTCCATCTCTATCAAGCAAGTCCCGAATTGTTTCAACGATTCAGATGGCACCTAGTTGTTCTCCGAAAGGTGACAACGTGAAATAAGTTATACGACTTTTACACGTTGTCACCAATCGGAGAACAAGAATGTTCAGTTTGGAAAAAGACGGAAAAATAAATGACGCCTCCCCCCTGTCAAAGCGCGTTTACGTAATATCGCCAACTACATTCCTTTGGAACCACCGATTTCCACAAGAATGTCCAAACATAAAAACTCTTCAACAAAATGGCTCTCGCCATTCATGAAGCAAACATCGACCCAACTTATTTCATTATCAATCCTGATGTCGGAGACGGGTTCTTCAAGACCTGCATTGCTTTGCATCACATACTGGATGCGAAATTATACAAGGTTTCGTATCCTGCAGCGGACGATTATTTGAAAGCGAGATGGAAACTTTCGAGAGCGGCCGGTTACAACTTTTCCCGCGCCGGACGAATTATTATTCAAATGGGGAAAACACTCGGTCGGGACGAAATGCCCTGCGCTATCGGGCTTTATCTCATGTTGGATAAACTTCACAAAGAGCGAAATTTGACTCATGTTGAGATATGGAGAAAGGCGGTTCAATACTTTGGCTCTCGTCAAATGGTCATTGCGGTCAAAATGGATGAAATATTTGAAGACCTACCACCCGATTCCGCCATTGACCTTTCGGGCGAACCCGGTCTCCAGTTGGACGATACCACTCGCACAGAGATAGATGAAGAGATAGATGAAGATACAGAGATTGAAGATGTGATCGAAAATGAAAGGGATACGAACGAAGTAGATTGGAGTTCCCGATTAAGAAAGCGAAAAGAGGTTACTCAAGACACCTCAGACGAAGATGATTCGGAGACTACCAAACGACCGAATATTCCGATATCTACTGGATTTGGAAGATCCGAAAACGAGTATAATACGCCCCAATATCTGGTGAATCTGATCACCAAATTTTGTGGCGAAATTGATCTTGATCCGTGCTGGAATCCCGAGTCAAAGATCATTGCAAAAACCGTATACGGTGAACAAGTCGACGGAACATTTGTCAACGCTTTGACGTTGTCTGATTGGACAAAAAGCAATTGGGTTTATCTTAATGCACCTGGTGCTGCAATCGACGCTCTACAACATGGTCCGAAAACTTCTGCGAAAAGACCTTACCTCCATAACGACTTTTGGGAAAAGACAATGTTGGAAATGAAAAAGGGAAACATCAAACGGATCATTGCAATCATTCCGAATTGTCCATACCGGAAATGGTGCAGGTTCGCCCTCGCACGGGGACTTTGTTGCCACCTTACGAGAAAAGTCCCGTGGGATAAAACGGCCGCTGCAAAGGTTCGAATGGACGACATGCGATTTTCGGCAAAGAATTCACATATCTCGAACGATGTCTATTCACGCACGATCGTGTATATTGACTCGGATGCAGATTATCCACATACAGATAAATTCATCGAGGTCTTTCGAACCCATGGATTTATTCCCGGATTAAATACGCGCATACCAAGGATTCTGGAGATTTCCGAGAAAAGACCATTGCGGTACTTTTCTGCCTTTGCTGGAATCGGTGGTGCCGAAATGGCATTAAGAAATATCTTTCCCGAAGCCATTTGCGTTGGCTTTTGCGAGACAGATAAAGACGCTTTAAAAGTTTATGTTGAGCATCATCCTCGACATAAAAACTTTGGAGACATCACCAAAATCAAAACAAATACCATACCGGATTTTGACCTGTTAATCGGAGGTCCTCCGTGTCAACCTTTTTCGCTTGCCAATCCGGGAAAAACTAAATTCACCGATCCTCGGGCGGATTTGTATACACAATTCGTCAGAATCCGCAACGACTGTCAACCCCAATATGTGATTATGGAAAACGTTCCTATGGATTCAGCAAGCATTGCGGAGATCTCGAAAGGACTTTTGTCTACGACGGTGCAAAAACTCAATGCCGCGTCGTTTTGTGCACAAAATCGAATCCGTTTATACTGGACAAATTTCTTTGTTCCGGAACCTTTGGATGTGCCTTCGCCGACAATTGACAGTATAGTAGAACCCAATCATTCCGGAAAGTCGCTCCATTGGAAATGCTTCAAACAACCTCCTCCCCCAGATCTCATTGCCGCGTTCAACAAGGACACGGTGGAGCAAACAGTGAAATTTCGGGACGATGGAAAAAGTAACACCATCATAGCGACCGAGTGTTATGAATTGGCTATCGCTGCAAATGGAGTATTCAGGCTTTTGACCTGCTCGGAACGCGAGAAGTTACAAGGGTTTCCCGTGGGATACACCGCATTTGTCCCTGATAAAAGTAGAAAGCGATTACTTGGAAACGCTATGAACGTACCTACAATCGAGTACATCCTAAAGCACATCCCCTAACACTTCATTCGATCGTCCCACCTTGTACTTTGTCTAAGAAATCCTGACCTTGTCTATTAATCTCATCGAGTCTGTGAATCCCCTTTGTTGCAGTGGAATCCACTCGACGCGAAGTTTCTTTGATCTTCTCGTTGAAGAGTGGAGATTCTTGCACAGCATTGTTAACATTTGTGATGAATTTTGCGCTTTTATGTCCCACCTTCACAGCGTTGTTTGCAAATGAACGCGCCTTGTGATAATAACTTGGAGCATTGGTTATAAAAGTATTCGCTTTTTTTTTCAGATTGTTCAAGAAATTTGCCATGTCTGTTATTGTACATAGGCACAGAATTAAATTTGATGCCTTTAGGTAAATGGCATTCTATAAAGCAAACGTGCTGGAATTCCAAGGGATCAACAGGTCAAAAGGAATCCCGAATCTCCAGCGTCACCAAATCGGACGAGCCCTTGACTATAATAATCTAGATGAGAATGGAAGGCCAGATGTCATTTATTCTTGGAATAGAAACATCCACGACAAAGATCTTGCAACCAAAACACATTATGTCAAACCAGTTTATGAAGAGCGTGTTTCCAGCGCCGAAATCCTCCGGTTATCTGCAAAACAGCACTATACCCAAGCATACAAAGATGGTCTAGAATATATCAAAGCCGAGAAGGACTATCGCGCTAAAGAACGCTATCTGGATAGCATCACACCATCTCGGCGAAACAAGACCGTCACAATTGGGACAAGCACATCGACGAGTGGCCTTCCCGTCCCCGACACGGAAGGTAGGGTGTATAACTATGATGCGCAAACAACTGCGCAAACCGGCTTGATGTTTGAAGCACCGGCTAACCTACATGAAGTCCCAGATTTGCCAAAGAATGTGTCCGGTCAACGTGTCCACCCAGTTATAATCACGCACGAAAAAGAGATCGTTGTTGATAACCTTACTGGAGCAGCCCAAGTCAAAACCGGAAGTTCATCTGTTCTTAAAGCACCTGTTGTAAGCAATTCTCTTGATTATCAAGAGCCAATGATGCCCGGATCGTTTCCTAATATGATCGGAAAAGATGAAGTTAAAATTGAAAATAACATACCTCCGGAGATCAATATTGGGAATGAAAGAGCAGAAAACAAACCAGAAATCGCTTTGACCACCATCAGCGACCCGAATAAGGTTGAGGAACTCTTATCAAAAACACAAGTTACGAGTAATCTCGTTCGAACCCCTGGAAAGACGCCTATTGGAAATGTGAGGAAAGATCGTCGTTTTGATCCGACCAAACGAAGAATAAAGAACAGATTAGAAGACTCACTATTGCAATCCACACTTAACAAGCAGGAATTGGTAGGATTTTCTGATGGAATTACATTGAGGTACACGATGATGGCGCAGCAAGACGGAGATTGTCCGCACTCGCTAAGATAACACAATCCCATACCAAAACCCAAGCCCGAATCGGTGCTCGCACTGATGAGTTAGCCATTAATCCCGCTGTTAAACTGAAAAGCGGAGGTTTCTCTAAGAAAGGAACCGTCATCAAAGCGACGAAAAGATTGATGATGCAGACGAAATTCAATTAATAGATCCAAAAGTTTTGGAACGATCTAGAATGCATCGAATAGTTCAAGCAAATGTTGGAGTTGAGACCATTGTTGATCCAGTGGCTTCCCGTGTTAAGAAACAAGAAAAAGCCTCATTCTTGCGTCCTATCGCAAATCTACGCGGAAAGGAAAGAATCGATTATGCGATACCTCCAACATTTACCGTCGCGGATGTTGAACCTACTGTAAGCATCCGAAAACGCCCTACAAAAACGCAACAAATGCCCACTCGACCTGTCAAAAAGGTCAGAATTGACTGAATTTATGGATTTACATTCAGTGACATAACGCGTTTCAAGTTGTCATAAACGGGATTGCTAAAATGCAACTTAAATAGATACGTTTCTGATGGTCTAATTGCAATGAAAAGCAAAGAAACGATGCGTCCGTACTATCCGAAAAGAAACCCCGCAGGTCAAATCATATATCCGCTGGGAACTCGTAAGTGTAAAATGGATAATTGCACAACCACGATTCCGTTCATTAAACACCGACCGTATTGTTATGAATGTTATTTGAAGAAAAAGGAACCGGTCGATTTCAAGTTGGATGCTGATAGCGACTAAGCGATCTTCCGAAAGTAACTACCCACTGATTCTTGATTGTTCTTCCTCCTTTTCCACCTTTTATCTGATATCGTACATGCCATTGCGTACGCTTGTTTAGAAGAAGTCACTTGTAATTCTACACCCCCTTTCCCTTTGTATGTCAATTCACCTTTATCAAATTTTTCAAGAATCTCATCCATTATCTCCTTCTTGAAAAGTTCGGCCGAAACCTCCTCTTCGTTTATATTGTGTTTTCTGTAGAATTCGTCCATTTATTGTTGTAAGATAAAGTGTTTTACGCCATTTAACCGCGAGCCCCAATCGTTCTCCGATTGGTGACAAAGTGAAATAAGTTATACGACTTTTACACTTTGTCACCTTGCGGAGAACAATGCTTCTCACACGTTTCTCGTCGGAAAAAAAAGGAAAAATAAATGACGCCTCCCATTTGGACTCCATACAGTCGTATTGACAGCCAAACCGAAAATCTAATGGTGCGGTGTAGGGAGGCGTCATTTATTTTTCCGTTTTTTTCCAAACAGAAACATTCTTGTTCTCCGATTGGTGACAACGTGTAAAAGTCGTATAACTTATTTCACTTTGTCACCAATCGGAGAACAACTCGATCCTTGAAATTGAAACTATTACGACAGTAACTATTCGATTGAGATGGAGAACGTCAGAAATGATATTTGATTGTCGAATGGATGTAGACAGGTAAAGTTTATTTAAGCAGAAAAATTATGTATCTGTTAAACATCCAATTCACGAACAATGGATATTGCAAATTACACCAAAATCAATAAGTATGGTCTATCATTCTACACCAATAGGAACACAGCAAGAAAGGTTATGGAAACGTTGATGGAGAGATGTGGGCCTGAGCAATGCCTCGTTGCCCATGTTCGAGATTATGAAGCAAAGGGAAAAAAGGAAGGTGAGATGGTGAAGAAAAAGTACTGCCAATATGCGATCGTAGAATGCTCTAAACTGGAGGATTTGCTGAAAGATGACAAAGGACTATTTGAAGTTATGCATCCTGATAGAATGATGAAACTAATGTTTGATATTGATTATACGGGAATGAATGATCCTATTGGAAAGGTAAAAAAAAGGATTCGATCAATTCTTCCGAATGCTTCCATGAATATTTCGGGAAGTGTGGGGGAAAAGGGCGATACTCTGAAATTCTCATATCACATTGTTGTGAATAACTACCATGTTCTGAATGTGGGCGAACTTGACCCGATTAAGCAGTTTTGTGCCATGTATAAGGAACTTGGATTTGACATGAATATCTACAGAGCGAACGGCTTGATGAAATATGTAAACCAATCCAAAGGTGACGGACGAGTCCAGGAGATAATAGAAGGTTCTGATAACATTTTGGATCACACGATCATGCATGGTATTCCAAAGGACAGCATCCACGTAAAGAATGTTTCCGAACTTCAAAACTTTCTATCGCCCGGGGCTCCAGCGCTCCGGAAGAGAAAACGAGAAAATGACGAGGGCTCGGTACAAGCGAGAAAAGGTCGCTACTATCCGGGTCAAATACCGAGAATGAACTTGGAACCTCCGGAAACCCTAGATATCTATAGAGGGGATCCGCTGCATTTTCTAGCGCACATGCCAAACCCTAAACGTGGGGATACGTTTGAATTGTCCAACTGGTTATGCAGTGAGATCGGTCGTTGGTGTAAGATGGCAGGTATCACCTTTGCGTCGTTTTGGGAGTGGAATTCGAAAAAGGATAGCACTCCGCAACGCAAAGCAAAATATATAGACTATTGGAATCGGGTGGATGTACAGTCGAAGCCCATTTCGGAGAATTTCATGAAAGCGTGTTTGGTTGCTGTTTATAACGGAAACATTCTAAAGTCGACGCCATACAAAGTAATGGAAAATGCGATAAACAAAGAGTTCAATCATCGCATTGACTCAAGATGGTTATCCTCAGCGGATCTTCACTTGGGTGACGATTATAAACACATTGTATTGCATGTTTCGCTGGGCGGTAACAAAAGTGGAAGTACCATTGATTATCTGAAAGAATTATTGGAGGGCGACAAAGAATTAACGGCGCTTTGGGGAACATGTAGAATTGCGTTGACAAACGAACAAAGAGGAAGAATGGAAAAAACGGGCGTCACCCAATGGAAATATTATCTGGATTACAGACCCGACGAGAAACAAAATCCAGTGCATCATCCCTATCTCGTATGTTCCATTCAGTCGATCTACTTAGCAAGGGGAGTTTACGATATAATCGTCATTGATGAGTGCGAAACTTTTTTGCGGAGTTTTGCGGACGATGCAAAATGCCATGGTAATCCATCTCAACATTGGAACAATTTCATGCGCCTGTTGGCGTCAGCAAAGAAGGTAATTTGGATGGACGGGTTTCTTACCAGAGCGACAACCGATTTGATTCGAGACATTGGAGGTGAAAGTTTCATTATTGGATCGAGTGTTCCTCCTCCGCAACGAGAGATCAAGTATTGCCAAGAAATAGAAGATCTTTATGCGAAAATGTTCAACAGTCTGGATAAAGGGGAAAAGATCTTTATCGCATCGGGAGCAAAAGGTTCTCGAAAGGTTCATTCCGCATTTGATGGGGTGGAAAACATTGTTTCGACGCTAATGGCAAAATACAAATGGAAACGTGGAACAGAAATAATTGGTATCCACGCGGATCGCAAAAAAGACAAGGAGAATCTGAGAAATATTGAGGAGGTATGGGGAAATCCGGCTGTGCGAGTGGTGGTTGGAAACGCTGCTTTAGCGGTGGGCGTGAATTATGATGTAAAAGAAGGGATGCGCCCGTTTGACCGGGTTTTTGGCATTTTCAATCCGGCTTGTATATCGTACCGGGACTTTTTCCAATTACTGGCAAGAATTCGGAGGCCACTTTCGAATGAGATATGGATTCTGTTTACGGAACCTTTCATGAAGGCAGTAAAGCAGGATCGACTGATTGTTTCACAATCCGATGGATTTCGTACCTTAGCCGCGCATATGGATTCAGAGAGTTTCGCGGATAAACATCACAAATCGGCACAGGATCTGTTCAAATTGTATGCAGATCTATGTAACATCAAACTATGCAGCAAAACATGCTTTGCATTGGAAAAGGATGCACGTCATTTAATAAGCGCCTGTTTCGACAGTCGATTCAATATGTTCTCATGGCATAACATTAAGGATATCTCAGGAGAAGAGTGTGAGAGACTTGAAAGATTGATCGAAGCCCTCCAAGCAGATGTCGATCAGATTCTTCAAGTTAAAAAATTCAGATTCAGAAATCTATTTAGAAGTGTGGTTACTGAAAACCTTGTTGAAATCTACTGGGACACGTACAGGGATACCGTCTACGCAGTGAATAACTTTGGCAGGTTAGAACGAGGTCAAGAACTGTATCACGACATAAAATGCGCCCCAATAGTCCACAAGTTTTACAAGGACAATAATCTAACAATCGAAGGGGAAATCAGACCAGAGCATGTCTGTAACTCACCTTTTGAAGACATACAAAGATCTTTTAAAATGTTTCACCGACCGAAAACGTACAGAATGGACCTATACGCAAAGATCATCAATGCTTATTTTTGTGCACCAATTATTGTTAAAACGAAAGAGAAACGTAAGAATAAGAAACGGTACACATGGGACACAAATGGATTGTTACTTGGTAAGATAGCAGAAGCGTTGCTATCATTCGAAGAGTTCGATATCTTGAATTGCGATTAAGTCCTTATATAATGCTTTAATTAAAAAAACATTCGTCGTTCTCCGACGGGTGACAAAGTGAAATAAGTTATACGACTTTTACATGTTGTCACCTTGCGGAGAACACGAATTTTTCGGTTGGAAAAAAAAGTGAAAAAATAAATGACGCCTCCAATAATGTTCAACATCTTATTTTGTAATGCATTGAATATAACAGAATGTCTGGATTAAACAGCAGAAATTCGAGCGGTTTGCGAAATTTAAACGATACGCTGTTGAACAGCCCGTATGTTTCCGGAAATATGAAAGCCCTTAGTGGAGACACAAAACTCTCCGGATTTCATTCAGCCGAGGTGAAGACGCTCTACAACCAAAACGGCGAATTAAAAATCAACGATATTGTCGATAGCGAAGACGCGATTATTCACAAGACTAACGGAACCGCATCTGTTGAAGTAATCCCTGACAATATGGAATTTCCTCTTGCAAGAAACGATGAAAGCCGAACTGTTTCCCTTTTGACAAACCTGCCTCTTGGAGTCAATGAAAACGGTCTCAATTTGTTCCACGATAAGACTCTTTCAGTGAGCGACGAAGGTTTGACTGTAAATTTTCCCCCAACGGATCTAGAAGATCTTCAAGAACCTTTATCAAGAGACGATGAAGGACTCAAATTAAATTTTGATGATTCATTGGAGGTCAATAATGGCAAATTGAAAGTTATCAAAGAGCCTTTGACAGCCCCGTTGACGCGGGGCATCAGCGGAATCTCTTTGGACTTTGATTCGACCTTGACAGTTGAAAACGGTCAGTTGTCTGTTGTTCAAGAAAATGTTGAAGCGATTGTTGACGAGGCTGTTCGAGTAGAAGTTCCGCTTTCGAAAGATGCAGATAAGGCCATCCGCCTCGATTATGGGAAGGGTTTGAAACTTGAAGACAATAAATTGGAAACCGACGTTGATACAGTGATTGTTGGACGAGGG